AAAATCTACATTATAATGAAATTATTGTGTATTAACTGAGTTCGTGCACGTTCCTAAAACATAAACAAATCTCGTTGTTAGGCGACGTGTGCACCACGTTATTTACATTTTTGCGATTAATGCCTATCGACGTGGTATTCACGTCGCTCGCAGTTTGAGACAAAAGCGTCTCGACGTGCGTGGCACGTCTTTTTAGCGCAAGTGGTTAAGAACACTTGTTCAGGAAACCACGAAAACACCCATGCATGTCTATTTGAAACAGTTTCTATTCATTATCAATTTCGTAAGCGAAGTTTTGAAACAGCTAGATGGGAAGACAATTAGAATTATTTTAGATTCTCGAAGTTTGGTTTATTTGATTGCGGCAAAGCTGGAGAGGCTGTCTCGCCTAAATAACAGATTCCATCACGAAGGTCTTTCGGTACTCTTCTGTTATCAGGACCGGATTCAGAAATTGTTTGCATGCATATATATTCGTACGTACGTATGTGTCTGTATGCATCCATATATATATATATATATACACTCACAGACATGCATACATACATTTCTAAATTCGGTCCCTATAACAGAAGTGTGCCGGATTTTCTAAGGGATACTACCTTGTATTCACGTTTTTAATGGCACCACGAAAACGCAGAGCCCGTTCTTCTACAATCGAACCCATGTCAAACTACCAGCATTCAGCGACTGTACCTCTCTGCCGCTACTAAGCTACTAAGCAGAAGAATGCTGTCATCGAGTTTTTTTTTGGTAAACTGACTGGTATTCTTTTTAAACATGGAAAACACATGCTTTAGAACCAACCCGTTTGCCAGGATTTGAAACTATCAGTATTCAACGGTTTAACCACTCCTCTACTAGTGGATCTACTAGGCGTGCAAATTTAATTATTTTTCGGGAATAATTTTGAGTGCTTGGCTGATTTTAATTAAACGAAAGATGTGAGGTGTTTGTGGAAGACATCCTAAAGAAAACTGGTTCGTGTATATCCGTGTAAGTCTGCGTGTATACGATCCACCTGCCCCTAGAAAGTGTCCACGAAAGCATTTCTTCCCTTAGGCAGATAGCCCTGCCATAAGCAAACAAACCTGACCAAACTGTCTTCCAAATTACCCGTATCGTACCATATTGCAGATTTCACTGCCGATCATCTGCGATATATATTTTTTCATACATAAATTTTTTTTAATAAAATTTCTCTTTTGTGTCAATAAAAAGAAGCTTATGCAACTGTCTGGGCGATATAAATTCGGAAGATATTGGGGGGACTTCGCAATATATTTTAAATCTTTACCGAGAATACATTATCATTATCTTTTATAATAAATTAGATTGATTCATAAAGTGTAAAAATTAAGCTGAGATTTAAAATCCGTTACAATGTTTTCTTTGTTATTTGTATAGGCAAAATATTGACAAACGAATTAAGAATGCATTGTATGGAATGACTGAAAATAAGCGAATAAAATAAATAATAAAATTCCCATGGAAAATAATACTTATAATTAGCTGGAGCTTGTTTAACAAATAAATAATTCAAATTTTTCGTAAAACTATTTGTTTCGACATAACATTATTTTATCATTTCATGATAACTGTTGTTAATAAAAGTAAATTTTTACCTGGAACTATTATAGTAAAATAAATTATTATAGTGATTGTTCTAGTCGGCGTGCATATATTTACTCGTAGCATGACGAAATTAATTACTAATTGTGCTTTCTTGAACAGCGTCCCATGCGTATAGATCATTAATAGTTGTCAACAGATTAGTGTCGAGTTTTCACCACAATCTAAAGAAAAAATGACTTCTCTAAGAGTCTCTTACGATAATTTGTTTTAAGATTTTGGATGATTCCTCTATCCACTGGTTGTAGCTTCGCAACTGTGTTTGGCGACAAATATTCAACCTGTATGGAGCTCGGTTCTGGAAGGTTATTGTGACAGGCTGCGTCATTCATAAATAAGAGAAGTTTATGCTTTTCACTCGAAAACTGTTTATATATTCCTTTTAACTAATTGCTGAAGATATCTCGTATCATTCATACTTTTGTGTTGGATACAGGAGCGTAGTTAGAGTTTCCAGCGCCCAGGGACAACTGAAGAATTTGCGCGCCTTTGTGTGTGCCCAAAATGGAAAATATTTCATTAACAAATTTCGTAGCATCAATTTGGCGCCTCCTTGGATGCTGCGCCCGGGGATAGATGTCCCCCCTTGCCACGCCACTGATTGGATACATAGTCAAGTAACAGTGTTCGAATTCCTTTAAAACACGATGGATTCTTGGACTTTCCAATCACCAATAATTTCAGCTTTTCGCTCCCATCCCATACTAGCACAAACTAAAGTTGTAATCCTCTTTTTACTGCTTTTACCTCCTACGCAAGCATCTCATTTAAAATGTAATGTCTTGTTTGGCAAGTAGAAAAGGGCAGTTTCGTCCGCATTAAAAATACCTTTCGACAGGTAAGCAGAGAAAAGCCCTGGCCGTTTCCTACCGAAATTATTAGTGCATACGTCTTCGTTTGCATTTCAGCTTTGGCCACGTACAGTTGGATAAGAATTATTGTGACTCGACTTAAATCGAGAAAGCTATCCATCGCTGCATTTAAAATACTCATTCGACCTGCCAATTCATCAGCCCTCGTCTGCGGTAGAGGTCCATTTACAGGAAAATTTCGAGATCTAGCCTCCTGGAACCATAGCCATTGGGACGCATTTCTCATGCGTTTCATTCCTCTGCAAAATTTAGATTTTTCCCATGAATCTAAAATTGTTTCCTTGTTTTTCAAGGAAACAATTTTGGATCATAATTATAAATTTTTTAATTCCGTTTTCACCTGCAAACTTTGTTTTACGTTCTCCATTCTCTACTTTCTGTAAAATTTCTACCTTTTTCTCTGAAGTTAAAGTTTTGTACTTTCCACCTGTAGACACCTGAATTTTTATGCGTTCACATCACACATTGAGGAAGAAAAATTAGAGCGTATTAACTTGTCTGCACTGCAGGCATAAGTGACGCAGCTCTCTAGAATCTGTAGTAAAAACTGATTTTTCTGAAATTATAAGAAAATTGATAAAAAAAAAATTTTATCATTCCTCTACCCCGACCCTCTCGTAAAGGGATCTGAATGAATCCAAGCAAACGGGTTAGGCCAGGGAACTTTGTCCGTTAAGCACTAATAAAAGGCGGGCCTATTAACATTTAGTGGAAATGCAATGGTCCAGGAATGTAGGCATGTTCCTCTTTACATAGAAAATAAATACAAATGATTCTGAAAAACAAAATAATAAATATAGCGTGTTTTTTCTCCGTTAAACGAGGAAAAAGAAATCGGTACTTTTCCGTTTTGCCGGCGCAAGCGATAAAGTCGCCAATAATGGTACAACCGATGCCAAACGGAATATTCTCGCTGGTAACCTTTTACGCCTCATTTTCAAAACAAGTCGCAGCTTTTTCTTATCAGATTGATAATTAAATACTAACAATAATTCAATTTAATACTACATATAATTACATAGAATTTTTATCAGATAGTTCAGTTTTATGTCTAAGGCCATTTTCGGTAATTAAGTCAATTAGGATGCAATCACAGCGCTTACCCGAAGCCGAAATTATAGAAAAGGTAAAATCAAGATTTAAATTCATCAATTCTAATGAGAATGCATTAGCGAAGTAAAGCACTACAGTTTTCCAAATTTTCTGAGTAAGCTATTCGTACGAATTAAAATATTTCTTGCATTTAAACTTGTGTTCCAAATTAAGATTTAACTTGAAATTAATGTAGATAATTACTGAGAGCATTAGATTTTTGTAGAATAGTTTGCGTGAGATGAGATCGCTTGGGGTCACGTGATATGAACCGGCGAATCAGGATGTTGAACCATGAAACATAGTAAATTCTTAAATTAGTGTCTTTTTATAAATGTATTGTCTTTATTTATTGGCTTTTTATAAAATTTTAAGCGATATTAAAATGTTTATGCCTTCAAAATAAAAAATTCTTAGAACTAAAATTTTTTAAATATTTTTTATGTGTATACTGTATGTTGTCGCCAATAAAGTCTGCTTGGCGAGATTTGCGCCGGTGAAACGGAAAAGTACCAAGAAATCTATCTTTTTAAGTTTTTAATTCGAATTAACCGAAGTGATAGAAATTTAGTTCAAATTAATGAAATGCTTTGTAAGGATTATGTTAATTTTATTAACAGTTAAATTTTGTAAGTTAAAGTTCCTTTTCTGTCAAATTCTTAACTTTAACTTACTACTTCCGGCCAGAACGTAGTTTTGGAATCTTGCTGAATATTTAATGAGGAGGAGCGGTATTTAAATCAGGAAGTTACTTGCAGAATCAGAGTTTCTGATTTACGCGCGTCTGCCTTTTTGGCCACTCTCTCTCAAAGCTGTTATTACGCTCGGCCGTACTCAGGCCCTTGCTAAGCTTCGTAGTCAAATAAGTTAGGGGACAACTCGATTTGAACTTTGATAGCTTCGGCTATATTTCTTTAGTTAATCTTAATTTTAGTTTAATTCTTAGTCTTTTAGTTCAAGCCCAAGTGGGGGCTTTGTTTGTACACTCCCAGGCGGAGTTTTGTTAAATCTTATTGGAATAATAAAGGGTTAGTTACCCTTCTATCTTGTTGTTTCTTGTCACCGAACTTAAGCGATTATTCGCTTATCAGTTCTTAGATTTTTGACTTCGAACATTAACTTAGAATTACAAAGTGAGGAACTCTACAGCTTTTAATATTAATATCAATACAAGTTTTTGGCGGCCTTTGGATTAGTTCGAATTAACGAGAGTCCGCTGTATTATCATTGGCTGTAGGAGAATCGTTTGCCCCTCACTTACAAAGAATGTTTTTATTATTCGTTTCGGAATTTTTTTTAATTTTTAAAATCCCAAGCTCCCTTTTGCGTATGAAATATTTTAACCAACTTTTATTTTAACAAATTATTAAATGCTAGCTTGAGCATATTTATAACAATAGTACAATAAGTTAAGATAAAATTTAATCAACACAATGAACATCTTCGTAACTTAACAGCCCTCTTTCTTTCTCTTCTTCATGAGAACATATCGTAGTATCTGAGAAGAGGATCTTCTGTGGAGAAATAATAAGACGAACTCCTTTATACGATGTGCCATTCATTTCTTCTATTGCTCGGTTAGCTTGAACTTCATTCTCGAATGTTACAAATCCGAACTTCTTTCGTCTGTTGATGTATAACCTTGTGACGATACCCACATTTTGAAAGAAATCCTGAAAGTCTTGGACTGTCAAATCACCTTGAAAGGATACGTGACAAGTCTGTTTCATTCGATCGCTACAGCTGTTCATGGAGTTCTTTCGATCCTTCATCGAAATATCCGTCCAGGAGATGTTTTTCTGCTTAGCGCATTTTACAAAGAGCTGCTTACCTTCAACGAAACACGCGTTCATCTTTTGTGAAGCACAGCGAGCACTTTCTGGTTTCTTGAAAGTGACAACGGCACTTTCTCGATCGTCATCCAGCCTGATTTTCCAGATGTCACCAAAACAACTGAAATGATGATGTAGAAACTGCTCCGATATACCGGCGGCTCGGACAGTAATAGACCTCGGTTCGAACTCTGCTTCTGGTACGTATTTTCGACCAGCACATCTATAAAAGGGGAAAAAGGTAACACTTTTAGCCACTAGTAAGGTTCATAGCGTAAGAAGCCGGTGATTTGTTTCTTTATCACAGTTTCGGAAATAATCAATCTACCGTGAACAAAATCAATCTACCACTGAACAAAACTCTCAATTTCCATTAATAAATGGCTATTAACAAAACAATCTTATTTATCTATGCTTATGTGTCGTGAAAATTGAATGATGCTTAAGGAATATGCTAACTTTCTTTAGCTTAGGTCAACATTCTGAATTCTTAGTTTAAAAAGAGTATTTTGAAATTAATAAGAAAACATCTGATGTGTACACCACATTATTTTCTAGTATGGAATATTAAATTAGATGCATTTCATTTAAATTTATTTTCTCGAATTTCATTAGAGATACATTTTTCATTAATTCGCGAGAATTCAAAAATATATAAAACCTCAAAATATCTATATCAAAAATTTAAAAACAAACACCAAATACAGTTAAAACAATTATTATTATTATTACAATTAGTTTCTATGCAAAACAAGCAATTTGGCCAGAGGGCAGATTTTTCGATGTTCAAAACTAAAAGTTTACTTTTGATGCCACTTGGCAAAATGACACTGGAGATTCAGAAACAGACTTAATTCACTATTTTGCTAAGTTTCAGATGTAAACAAATATGGCTGCTACTGTAAAAAATTAGCCTTAGCCAAACTTAAGCAACTTTTAAATTGTTAATAATTCTGCAATTAATTAAAACCTTAACCGGAACATAAGAACAACATAATTCGATCATTTTTAAAGCAAAAAGTGAACAATTTACCATTATATAAGAAAGGGGAAAAAATTGAGCTCACGGAGCCAAGTAACAGAGTGGGTGTATCTCTCTCTCTCTCTCTCTATATATATATATATGTATGTATGTATAATCTTAAATCAATATTATTTAGTTGTAGGGTTTATATTTATTTTAACTAACATTTATTTTAAGTTTAAACTATCTTTCCTGTCAAGCCTTACTTTTCCCTGGAATTGCCAATGCATGTAAATTTTAGTAGAACGCGCAAGAATTAAAATTGCCAGCGGAAGTAATCTGAGTTAAATAGAAGGGAAACGAGTTCGAAAGAGTGCTTTCTTGCTTCACGAGCGTGGAGGTGGCTAGTTAGAAATTAAAGAACCACGCGTTTCAACCTGTGTGCTTGCCTCGGCTGATTGTTAAATCGTTCAACGTAATATTCAGAAGTTTGCTGAATTATAAGCGGTATTTTAGAACGCGGTTAGGTTAGTTACGTTTAGAGAGCCTCGTAGTTAGTCACTTGTTATTATTCTTTTTTTTTTTTTTTAGTTTCTTATTTTTATTTTACCGCCGGGTCGGCGTAGTTTGTGAGCGTCAAGAGCACACATTTGTAATTTCTAAAGTTGAATAAAAAGGGATTTAAACCCTTCTCAAGACTTTGTCTACTTTCCAGTTCTTAGCAGTCCTGTTGTTGCGTGCAGGTTGGAAGCGCGCAACATTACATAGTAAATAAATTATATATATGTATATTTATAATTTTGGCGTGGCCGGTTGCAACCAAAAAAGGAAACGCGCAGCTACGTGTTATAGCAGTCATATACACAAAATTTCAACGTTCTGTGGCTACTCTGTGTACTGCTACTATTTTTTTTTTTTTTTTTTTTTTTTTTTTTTTTTTTTTTTTTTTTTTTTGCAAAAGGGTATATATGTTTCGTTTCAGTTCTTTATTTGTTTCATATGCTTTCATTTCAGAAAAATGACATTTTCCTTTTGTTCCCCTCAAATTGTCCTCGTGCAATCATTTATTAACTATTTTTCTATATACTAATGAACTTCCTTAGCGAACAATGAATCGGAAGAGTCATTACATATCTCATTCTTAAGCGAACAAAATAACGTTTTGTATCTCTCGCTCCTTACTGCAATCGATTTTTGGAAACCTTAAGCTTTTCTTTTCGTACTGTATTCGGAGAGCCAACTGCTTAGAACAGTTTTCACCACTGGGGGGGGAGAAGGGGGAAAATGCAGACTTTTCATCTTTTCAACCTATGAACTATCAGCATCGAAACTTTATTACCACGATTATTACGGTATAATTGTTTTTCTTTACGTAATAAACCTAGTGGTCCGCGGAAATTTATTGCTACTGGAAAACGAAAGAAAAGTTCTTTTATAAGTGATGATGGTTTTACACACCTTGACCTTGAACCAACCGCCTTAGTACCACAGGGCAAAAAAATCTCGTGAAACGTTTACGTAATTTGATTATTATTACCAATTAGGTTATTCCAATACGGCAAAGCACTCGAAGGCTATCTGCCGTAAGATGAGGGATCAAGCAATACATTTAACTTCTGCACCTAAGACACCCTTTGAGCTGCTTCCGTATTAGGCGGGAGGGTCAGGTGATGTCACAGCATGCCCCAAAAGAAGAGGATCCGACGGATACCTGGGGCTCTATTCCACGAATACATCTTTAAAAGAACTTTAACTCTTTTCGTACAACTCTTGTTTTCCAGCAGAAACTGCACTTTGAAGAATAAGCAATGTTGTGCACTGTGTATAATTTGGCAAAGTATCTTCTATTGTAAGCAACTATCAAACTCTATTACTTAAGATTAGATTAGATTAGTATTAATAAGGTAATGTCATTCTATAAACTGTAGTCAAGACTACATGGAACTAGAAATAGTTTATCATTAGGCACTCATTGGCGTTAACTATGTTTAATAACCTGCATTTATAATAATACAATCTCCGTTTTTACTTAACCTTTTAAGCTCCGCTTGCAAACTCTGGCTGTTGCGCTTGCAGGGTTTCTTAAAATCTTTCGTCTTTTTGCCAAACGTGTCCTTCTTTGACAGTGTACCACTTGCCATCAAGATCTCCGCTGCCGCCTTTTTCAGGTCATGCTGAGAATAACCTGTGGAATCATTTAGTCTTGTAGTAGGATTTTCTTTAAAACTTGTTTGTCTCTTCAGAAGCCGTGCTTTCAGTTTCCTTAAGATTTCGTACTTTGATTTCAGTTGTTCCTCCTCTTTCGTCAGTTCTTTTGGATATTCGGGTAACCAATTTTTCATTTTGGACATGTTCTTAGTTTCTCACTAAAACTGAAAGCCAAGAAAAGAAATACGTAACAGAAGAATCAATAATAATAATAATACACTTCAGTGACTTGAAGAGAATTAAGTGAAATGCAATAAAATAGGTTTAATAATAAGTGTTCTCCGTTTGAAACCGATAAGCATTCCTTAGATTCCATTCCATGTAGGTTTTAGTTCATCCCAAAATCGGCCTTCAGAATGCTGCATCATCCGCCATTTGGGTTTTAAAAAAATTATTGAAAAATGACATTTATAAACGGAAAAAAACACTGTTATTGAAAAAAAAAATGTTTCTATTGTAGGTCAGCCATAAATCCATTCTTATGACTAATTAATTATATATCACCAAACGAAGGTTTACTATCTTGAGGAAAAAATGACGTTTACTAATCTTCCATATTAGCAAATGATTGACCATAATGTAAGAAAAGCGTAACCAGATCTGAGCTTGCAAGACTGGCGTATGTTGAAAGGGATTCAAGGAAAATTCAAAGAGGGCTAATTTTTTGTTACTCAGTTAATTAAATCTGCGTCACAGACAATATGATTCAAATCCAAACCAATACAGAATTTTAATTGTGGCTTTTTCATTCTGGCCCTCTAATTGTGGCTCGCGTGTGACATACAGCTCCTTGGCATCTTAAATGGGATTCTGTCGCAGTAAACAGTATAATTGTATTTTGAAACATAAATCCTGCAACGGCAAACTTGTTCAACAACCAATAATTTAATTTCTTAAATTACTTTATGCGTGTAAGAATTTAATCAACTTCAAATGGGCCACTGTGTTACCAATCTTCAGAACAACAAACAATATTGCAAATTATTCTTTATCTGCGAAGTGCAGATGTTACTGTAAGAGGGAAAGGGTGTCATCGGGACAGGAGAGTGAAAAAAAAAAAAATATGTAGCTTATTTTAAACTACGATACACTCTAAATTTTTCTCTCATGTCTATTTCATTTCAGGCAGCTTCTCCGCACAGAGTTTTGTATACATAATCATCCTACTTCTCAATAGCTCGATCCGATCTGGAAAAACTATTTTATTCCTTATAGGGCACTGTTTTCATTATGTCATCAAATGGGTTGAACAACTGTTAAAATCTGTCATGGAAAAAAGTGCTGTCCATTTAGGAGGATTTTTAATCCGGGGGAAAACAACTGAAGGTCTGCTGGATTCATGTATGGACTGTTATGACACCAAGCTGGCGGTGGTTTTGGCGACGAATTTCTCTCCATATTTGGCGAGAAATCGCCATGGCCGTCATTTACAATATTTTAGTCCGGTTCCAATATAACTAATTTGTACTCTAACTGAATAACTGCATTTGATCCCTATGTGTAACTGTAACCGTACCCACCCTTGTATGTGACTTCAACCGCATATGCTTTCTAAAAATTTCGAGGAATGGAAAGTACACCAAATTCCTTGGTGGCCGGGGAACTATATAAGACCGGAGAGAGCATCAGTCCTCATTTTTTAGTTGAGCGTTGACTTCGGAGTATTGAAAGAGCTCTGTGCGAGCTTCGCTGTTTAGATGCGCTTTGCACAGCGTTGTGTTTAACTTTCTTAATAGTTTGAAATGGCCAATTATTGATTGTGCTCTGTCTTACTGAGAAGTATTATAAGAGTACTTTTGTGGAAAGTTCCAAAACTGTTAGGTATTTCTTCTGGATAAGTAATTTTTATCAAGCTATCACCGATTCCGTGTGCATTCAACCCATTACGAACCCGTACGCACGTAACAATACTTTATGGCAGGCGATGTAAAATTTTTCATTAGTACTACAAAATATGTGCGCGTCTGTCTGTCTGTAACATCATCTCCGCCAGAACGGCGGGGAGTTGAGTTTCGAGTGAAGTACCTCCCGGATTTCAAAAATTTGTGGGAAGCCATTTCCACCATTCTGATCTTTGCGCAACTTTAATTAGGTGAGGTATCAATTAAAAACTTTGAAAACGTTAATTTTCGCACTCCATCACTTTATATAAGTATCTTCCATTTGTTTAATTAAAAACTATAAATTTTTCTCAAATTCTTTTTGATTCAGAAGATGTTTTTAATATTCCCTTTATTAAAAAATTGAAATCGCCATGTTCAACTAAATAACCAATAAACTAATCGATTGTGTAGAAATCAAGATCGATAAGGGCCATTTCTCACTGTCTTTTCAATAGATACCATACTGCACATAGTATCAGGATAAAGAAAACTGTATTTGGTGGATTAAACTTTCAATTTATCCACTTCGCATAATCTTTCCTACACCCAAAGTAAACTCAGCAATTACGCATCAGAGCTTCCATCGTGGCCCAGTTTGGCGATTTTTTACAAAAGAAAAGAATGACTGTATGAAAATGGCGATGTGGCTTGCTAAAATGAATGAATTATGGTTATCTAAAGGAATGTAATGCGAATGATCGCCACAATTTGGAGCATTTTGAAAGCTTGGCAATTACTAAGGTGGCTGCACTAATAAGTAAATACTGTAAGTTGTACTCTTTTTTGCCACTTTTTCTTACATGTCCTCAATCACAGTTTATGGTTAGGCACATCCTGTAGACAGACTGAAAAATACGCTTCTGATTCATGGCGGACTCGGCCGAATACCCACTACAATGGCAAAATATGGAATAAAAGTTATTTGACGGGCGCAAATTAACGATTTTGGCGGCATTTTTTAAAAAAAAGATCGGCAAACTGTCTATATTTGTTGTAAGTCGGCAAACATGTTCAACATGTCAGAAGAAAACAAACTTAAGCAACTTAAAATGCAAATTAAATTTCTTAAATGTATGTGGTACATTAAAAAATAAAACATTGGTTGTTTGCGATTGAGACTTCAATTTAGCTAAATTTGGGTAACGTTGTATCTGTTCTGGGTAACGTAAACAGGCTAACCGCATTTAGTGCTTCGGCTCAGAGTTAAGACTAGCTCCTAGTTAACAGAAAAGAACCTATTAAAACTGTGATTTCTTTCATTCTCAAACTTATTTATTCATTAATGAATAACATATCCAATATTTTGTAACTCGTTTTTTTTTTCACTTATGTATACTTCGCTTCATTTTTCCGTGAGATGTTAGCCAAAAAATATTTTGCAGCTAAAAGAATTTCAGCACAATGAAAAGAACGGTGTTATATCCGATAATTTATGTTTAATTTAAACGAATTTCATTAATCTAAAGTTTAAATTATTATAAAAACTTACCTGATCTTTTCAAAAGAATATAAGAAACAAGTATTCTTATGAAGTATTTTATTGTTCACTATCAATCCTAGAAAATTACAAATAATTTTATTTCATTTTAAACATCGCGTCAGTCGCGAATCTTGACTTTTAATGTTGCCATTTTTGTAAAGTAAATAGTTCTTCTTTTGATAAAAGAATTGTTTTATATATGACATTAATATAAAATAATATTTCTAAAGACAAAATTGCAGATGATTTTACGCAGATTGTTTTAGAAATCCTAGCAGATAATAAAAAACGAGAATAATTTAATTTTTAAAAACTTTTTTTTTTTACTTAACTGCCAGACCATCTTCCAAACTTCAATTCAGTGTCAATGTTGCCAACGGAATAATTCAGTTAGTTTCTTTGATCGTAGAAAATTATGTTGTAATAATGTTATTAAAGAATAAAAACTACTAATTTCTAATTACAAATAAAGATTGCTTCCATCTCTTGAATAGTTTCTCACTGTTCAGAACTGCTCATTAATCACTTACGTATGTAAGTCAGTTATTAATGATGTAATGTAAGATTGAAAAAGATGCAAATATAGCAAGATTAGAATTCGTGAGATGACAGTTTAATTGCCATTGAGTCAATTAAGACGTAATTTCACGATTTATAACTATAGTCACACTTTAATTTCAACTACGATATAATTATAACCGCAGTTCTAATTATATTGTAAATGTATTAAACGTAATTAGAATGTAATTATAAATAAATGTAGCATAGCTTGGTAAGTTTTGTCATTGCGCCAAACATAAGATGTTATTTTAACTTGCACGCGCCTTCGCGCATAGCGAGTTCTCAGAAATGTCCTTCTGCGAGGTACAAGTCTTTAATTCACCTTTGAAGTTTAAGTACCTGCATTGGTTAAAAAGGTTTTTAAAAACAGTTTTTATTTATTTATCACCACTGAGCAGGCTTCCGACTTAAGGTGTATACTAAACAGACTACTGCCTGCTCAGCCGGAGATCAAGTAGTATCCAGCAGTCGCCACCACCAGGGTAGGGCTGTACTTTTTTTTAACAAAATCAGAGTACACTATATAGTAGCAGTATTTCATCAGAAAGACAACTTGCATTTATATGTTACATATAATTTAGAGTTATAATTTGGTACTTAGTACAGTGAAAACAAAGTTGCTGATTAAATTTTACAAATACTTAATATAATAAACAAAACAAAAAAATAAGTAAAAACGAAAATCTGTTTTCAGTTACATCCAAAGGGGCGTTTTCTTAACATTTTGTGTGTTACCTTTATTTTTTAAATGTCATGTTCTTCGCACTTAAAACCATAAAACTCAGTTCGAGAACAATATTGCAAAATAATTTTAAATTGAGCCTATCTTTAGAATTTTCGATACACAGTCTCACGCGCTGGAGATAAAAATATTTTTTCTGTACGACGTTACCATTGCTCGCTTTGAAATAAATCCTCGAGGTTGTTAATAAAAAATCCGTTGAAGTTTTACAAAATATAAAATCGATAATAAAACAAATTTCAAATGTGGACTTCCAAATGCCCATATTCGCGGTAGGATTACGTCATTCAAAACTGGATGGCTCTAGGTACCATCGTTTTATCACAATGCGAGAAAAATACATATATTTATGCAGATTCTTCATTATTGAATTTCTTCAAATATAATACAGGGCGATAATATTTGGTGCCAACAGTTTGGAAAGTAAAACGGACATTCAGAGTGATTCGACGAAAAATCGCAAAACGAAAACAATAGTGCCTCGGGGGAAAAATAGTCTATAGTCTACATTATGACTGCTACAGCATTTAAATTTTGCTCAGCGGCAGCCGAGTAATAAGGTTAGGTTAGGTTATTTAATTACGGCAAAGCCTCGAGAGCTATCTGCCTAAAGGGAGGGATGCCTTCGTGGAGGACTTTCAAAGGGAAACTGGCTCGTATACACGTTACACATAGGGAAAACCACGAAAACACCCATGCAGCCAGCGCGTTCGGGGGATTCGAACCTCGGACCGAACTACCATTGTTCAGAGACTGTTCGCTCGGCCGCTGGTAGGCGCCGAGTAATAAGGCTTACTTGTTGAAATGCGATAGTTAGATTCGGTTCAAATCTCGGCGAACAATCTGAATGCTTGGATATTTTAGTTGTTTTCTCATTGTGTAATATGTTTACGAATACGTTACGCTTAGCAAATCTTCCACAAAGAGATCGCTTCCCTTAGATGTCTTACGCTTGGGAAGCGATGAAACTGGACATTCTTCAATACAAAACTTTTTTTTTTTTTTTTTTTTTTTTTTTTTTTTGTCCAAAGGGGCAATTTGGCCCTTAATTTCGTTTCAGCATTTTGCGTTGCTTCACTACAAATGTGGGCACACTTGTCAAATTGTTGCCGCCAAATATTATTTCCCTGTGTTATATTTAAAGAAATTAAATAATGAGGAATCTCCATAAATATATGCATGTTTCTCTCATTGTGATAAAACAACGATACCTAGAGCCATCTAATTTTGAATAACTTAAGTTTCCACCCGAAATATGGACATTAACTGTTTATTATATTGTTTTTGTTACGTTGTTTTATTGATTTTGCCTTGGTTTTTTTTTTTTTTTTTCCCCAGTTCTGATGTATGTCTGCCATGTAGGCGCTTAAGTACATTTTTTGATTTTATTATTATATCACAATTATTTAATTAATTTCGTAACGTACTGTGCGACATATATAGTGAATCTTCTATCGAACGTTTTCGAAGTTAAATTTCTTTTAACTGGAAGCATTATTTATACAAATGATTACCAAAATGCTAGATCCTGGAAGTTGTAAATCTTTCACGTCTTGACGCCGTAAACCATTATAAACGATTCACGCAGAAGTGAACCGGTAAAACTCCAAACTCAGAATGCTGTTTTCACCTTCACTGCGGTATTTCATCCTTATGTTCTCAATCAGGTACAAGGAGAGTGTTCTGTCTGGGGAGTTTGTAACTGATCCGGGAAGAAGAGTATTATTATTCGTTTAACTCGAAGCCTCATTTACTACAAGAATCACCTCTTCAACTCTCTCGGCATAAATAATATTTCATTTTGAACGCATCTCTAGAACAGAAATTTGCCAAATGGTTGCGTAGGAGGATGAACTGACCTCTGGTTACTTGCGTGAACCAGCCCTTGGGTCAAGCAGGTGAAGGATTTGCCGTCTCACACCACACCGGCCTCGAAGCAGCTTAGTTTATTGGCCTTGTAATATGAAGAAGTTTGCTTTTGAATTTTTCTCCTCTTCATCTTTTTCTTTCTTCTGCACAACCTTTTAACCTTTATTATGACTTTTTTTCCTTTCACTTTCTTCTGTAATATCCGTAGGATATCTTCCTTTTATAAAACTCGGTGCAGTTTGAAAGGGAATCTGTGAGCATCAGGTATTGAATTTTTGCGGTATGAATAGACATGGAATCCCTCCAGGGCTTAATTTCGAAGATGAAAAGTGCCGGAGCCTTATGGAAGACTGTCAGCAACAAGAATAAATAAATAAATAAAATGACTAATGAGCTCATTAATAATTCAAAAATTAATAGTTAATTATCATTAAATTAATTAATAGCTATTTAATTCATGTTTATAAATTGTTATTTAATCAATAATTTTATAAATTTATAATTTAATTATAATTATTTATAATTAATTTTATTTAAATTTAATTGATAATTATTTGATAATTATTATTTATTGAAATAATAATTAAATAATTAAAACTGAATAAAATGTAAAGAGATAAATTGAAATTTAATACGCGATTTTAATATAATTTTATTATTAAAATAAAAATTTCGAGATAAAATTTCTACTGTAATTGTTATTCAATTACATAAACGAAGTGCCGCAGTCTTCTTATTCAGGGTTCCGGTGCCTTCTAGAAATTATGATTTATTACAAAAATTAAGAAGCACCAGAGCCGAAATACGGTGCGCTCCGGCCCAATTTAAGCTCTGATCGTAAGGGGGGAGTTCTTTTATCATCACAAAAATTAAATATACTTAAAAGTACAGCTGATGAAAATTCCGGAGCAGAACAGAATGAGGGTATGAGTGGGTGGAAACAAAAAGTGAGGGGAATCTTGGTGAGAGAGAACGTTCTCTTTGACCGCGGCTCTCTATTGATATAATTATAGCCATCAAACAGATGTATGTCAACGGTAAAATGAGTCCTGAATTTGACTCCTAAGGATGAATGTAAAGTTGCTGGTTACGCTTCTCCCCCCCCCCATTAGTGGGTACTGTGGGAAGACGATGTATAGGACGTGTTTGAGCAGTTTATCTTAGTATTTCACTCATTGTACTCGCTGTCACTTAACGCACTTATTGTACTCGCTGTCACTTAACGCACGTATTGTACTCGCTGTCACTTAACGCACATTTAAGAACACAAATTTTCCTTCCTGCGAGAATAACTAACTGTAAGTATCGATAACCGTAAATTAGATACAATGGCATGACGAGAAATTTACGCGTTCCTAAACAAACTCCCCCAAATTTATTGCTTTTCTTAGAGGGAAAGGTTTCCGCATGTGAGTGAGGGGACTTTACTTGAACGTCTCATGTTCTCATGAGTTCGTATTTCTAGGGAAATAGAGTATTGCAAGGTCTGCTTATTGTTAAACTAAAACGTTAAAAATTCTAATTTTTTTTCCCCTTTAAATTGTGGTTCAGTTTTATAAAAAGAATACCGGAGCTTATGTCATTTAGGGCTCCGGTGCGCTCCGGCTAAAATTGTAATTTATATTAAAAATTGAGAAGCACCGGAGCCTGGCTCCGGTGGGCTCCGGCGCAGTTTAAGCACTGAATCCCCCCCCCCATTAGATTCTTTCATTATTCTGAAGAACAACTAAATTATATCTGAAATACAGACTTAGTACCTGTTAAAATTGTCTTAAAGCTCGAATTTTGAAGTTCGTAAGAGTATACTTAATCAAAACCGACAACATATCAGTAGCCGAGTGCATAAAGCCGCTGAGCACAGATAGTTCGACACGATTCAAATACCAGCAAGCAGGGTAGCTGGATAATGATTTCAATATTTCATCGGTCAGAAGTATAATGGACA